TGCTCAAGCCTAAGCCTAATCCTGAGCCTAGACCCAGCAATGAGCCTATGCCTATGCCTGAACCTAATTCTAGGCCAAAGCAGATGCCTAAGCCTAGGCCTGAGCCTAAGCCTGTCCCTAAGCCTAAACGCTTAAGCGTAAGCAGAATTTAACCTAAGCCCAGGCCTAACAATAAGTTTTTTCCGGTTTTCAATTTTTTTTCTGATGAAAACGCTCATTTCAAACCAAAAATTTTTGCCAATACGATGGCGATATTTGTTTTGCAAAAATCAGCCATGAAAATCAAACTAACCGAGCTCGAAGATATTTTTAAAGCTTTTCGGTCGTGCTCCATGCTCATAGGGCCGAGCTTAGACTGAGGCTTAGGCTGGGCCAAAGCTTAGTGGCCCAAGTCTCTCTCTGAACTCTTCTCACTTTGATTGTTCGACTCCCAAAATGTTGTCTCCCCCACTTGTGATCTGTGTTTTCCGATGCCTATTTCCCACTCTAGCTTTCCATCTACGTGCTACACTCTCCTCTTTAAAAAGTTTTCAGCCGTTTTTTTCTGTTTTTGCAGGTGTTTCCGTTCCGTTCCATCCTTCCTTTCCAACCGGCGTGGCCACGCGGATTGTCCGGGGGCAAATTTGCGCAGCCGGTAGATGAGGAGGGCCGGGCCCTAAGCCCGCCGACCTGTAAAAGGTGCCGCCCGATGCCGGAAATTCCATTTTATTCCCCCCGGAATTCCGATCGGGATGTCGCGGCTTGCCGTTCTCATCGTCCTGGTTGTCGTGGTAAAACTTTGGAAACCGTTTTAAAGGGCTCAGAAAGTCAGCGGCTAGTCGATTTGAGTGTTTAAGGACATCGGAAAGTAAAAATATAACATAGTTTGGAGTTTAAAGGGACGGTGAAGTCAAAAACGAGCTTAATTTCGTAAGTAAAGCAATTTTACCAAGAATATACTAGTATTAATCGTAAAACCGTAAGGTATCTTCCAAAATTCGATAAATTGCTGCCTCTCCAAGTCGTGTTAGGACCCTTTTCCGAGCGATTCATACCGTAATTACCATCTTATTTGATTCCCCGGCATTTTCTTTTGGGCCCATTAATGCGTAGAAGACAATTTGAGCAAAAATCCCGACACGCAAAAATTCGACTACCAAAATACCGACAGTCCTAAATATCGACTGCGGGTCTCAGAACATCAAAATACCGACAGGCCTAACAACCGTCTAGACCAAAGTCCCGACATCCAAAGCATGGAAACACACCAAAAAAATCCCGACGTTCTTTGGCCCAGGTCCAGACAGATTATTTTGCATGTCGGCCCCGGCTACAACCAGTCGATACGGTTGTCGAGATTCCAACTGTCGTGTTTTGACTTGTCGGTATTTTGGCCTATCGGGATTTTGATTAGGATTTTCAGGATTATCGGGCTGTCGGTATTTTGGCATTTCCCCTTTTACAAAAACCAAAATTTTATTCAAGTTTTTTTTCAGGCCCTCCAACTTTCCACAGCCGAGGTTTGCAAGGACTACCTGCCATGGTAATTTTTCAGGTTCTAGGCGTTCTGGGGAACCTTAAAACTCAGATCAAAACTCTGTTTTCAGGTGCACGCAAGGCATGTGCGAGACCGGGGCTCAGAAGGCGAAAATTGTCGAGACGATCCAGAGCGATTCGGTCTCTGAAAAGGCCAAGACTTTCCAGGTGATTTTTGATTCCTCAAAAATCTCTGCTAGCCTGCCCTCTCGCTTCCTCAATGATCTCTGCTAGCCTGCGGTCCAGGCGTTCTTCTGCCCCTCACTTCCTCAATGATCTCTGCTAGCCTGCCCTCTCGTTTCCTCAATGATCTCTGCTAGCCTGCCCTCTCGTTTCCTCAATGATCTCTGCTAGCCCCCCTCACCTCCACAATGATCTCTGCTAGCCTGCCCTCCCCTTCCTCAACGATCGCTGCTAGCCTGCCCTAGCTTCTCATAACTGCTTCTCATTTCAGCTGGACGAGAACTACGACAAGCCGCTGCATGAGCTCTGCGCCAAGAAGTGCGGTCTATGCAAATAATTCTTCGGCCTAGAAATCGATGGAATAGGCGACTATTAATGCGTATATATGTACTGCGGAATAAACATCTTGCCCTGTTGTTTTTAGATTTCAAAAAAGGGTGTTGTCTTGAATTTTCAGAGCAACAACTCGATTTTTGAGCGCGAAGCCCTAAGCCAGCGCCCGAAACCCCAAACTTTTCGGGGTGCTACAAAATGTTTGGGTCGACCTGGCTGGCCTCTGGATTAGGCGGAAGATCGGGAAAATACGGAAAAGGTGCTGAATAGTTCAAAAATCCACATCACAACAATATTTTTTTGATGCCGAGAGGTCGATATGAAAATTCGCGAAAGAGCGCGAGAGCCAGAGCGAGAGCAAGAGAGAGCGAGAGAGAGAACGAGAGAGAAATAGGTAGAGAGTGAAAAAGAGAGAGAGAGAGAGAGAGAGAGAGAGAGAGAGAGAGAGAGAGAGAGAGAGAGAGAGAGCAGAGGTACCTTGTGGAATTAGACATCTTGGGGGGCAAGCTAGCAGATATTCTTTAGGTAATTACTCCCAATTAAGGGCAAACTAGCAGTGATTCTTTGCGGAATTTCATATTTTGAAGGGCAAGCTGGCAGAGATTCTTGGGGAATTTCGTGTTTTGAAGGACAAGCTAGCAAAGATGATTTAGGAAATCGCGCAAATCCTAGCAGAATTGCAGGTTTTTCCGGGCAAACTAGCCGCAACCTTTCAGGCTCCCCAAAAACGAGTCTCGTCCTCAGGTGTAAGCAGATTTAAGCCCCCATCTTAAGGGGATTATACCTATCCAAATAAACGACTATATACAGTCCCCCTCACCCTCAATAATTACCAGTTCCATCGATTGCAGCTGTCACTTCAGTGGGCCGTTAATCCCCCTCCGGGCGCGCGTCCCCAATTTCACAGCCCGGGGGCCCAATCCAGGGGCCCAATCGGGGGCCTAGGCACAAGAAGCCCCACCTCCGGATTAAAAGATTGCCCAGCTACCGTATCCCCGCCGGACAGGTAAGATGGGTATACCCTACGGCTTCTCTCAGCCCCGATTCGATACGTAAACATACTCATCCCGCATAAAACGCCCCACCAGCCTGTCTGGCCCGAATTTTAATTACAATTCGAATTTTGGGGCTTCGTGGACCTCCCCGCCTTAATTTTCCGGACACACCGGATAGTCCGGATTCCATTAAACCGGATTCCCCCGGATTCTACTGACTTTTCAGGACATTATAGGATTATATTAAGCCCCGCAGCAGCGCTGGGAGAAGCTCTGCAACTTCCCTATTAATTCCTTTTTTTGGACTCTTATCGGATTGTACGGTTAGGGAATCTAGTAGTGATTATTGGGGAAATTAGGTAGGCTAGCAGTGGTCATTTGGGAAATTACAGCTTGGCAAACTAGCAGGGATTATTCAGGAAACTTTAGAACACTGGGCAGACTAGCAGAGGTTATTTGGGGAACCGAGATCGCTGAGGCAGACTAGCAGTGGTCATTAGGGAAATTTTATCGCTGCTTGGGCAAGCTAGCAGGAATCATTTAGGAAACCGAGATGGCTGAGACAAACTAGCAAGGGTTCTTGAGGAAACAGGCGCACGGAGGCAAGCTAGCAGAAGTTCTTAGAAAAATCGAGGCTCCAGGCGGGCTAGCAGTGATTATTGGGAAATTGTAGCCAGCCGGTTTTACGGTAGCGGGTTGTTGGAATGCGGGTTTGGGGCAGCTAGCAGAGATTCTTGGAGAAAGCGAAAACCCGGGCAAGCTAGCAATGTTAATTTAGGAAATCAGGGTTGATCGTAGCAAGCTTGCAGAGATTATTGAGGAAATTGTAGCTGATTGGGCAGGCTAGCAATGATTATTTGAGAAATTGTGGTTTTCAGGGTTTTCAGGGCTTTCAATTTTTGTAAAACTCGGCGTTTCCGATCACTTTGAATGGTTTCAGCTCCAGAATCCGATGTCGTACGTCTACCAGCCGGATCGTGGCGACTATTTCGAGTCTTATCTACCGCAAATCGGCACCTCAACCCATTACGACTTCTATCAAGCCCCTACTGAGCCTGGAGAGCCATTGTAGGTTCAGAACTTATCTTAAACCTAGCAGTGATCATTGAGAAAGCGAGGGCAGGCTAGCAGAGATCATTGAGGAAGTGGGGGTAAGCTAGCAGAGGTCATTGAAGAAGAAGAGGGCAGCTAGCCGAGATTATTGAGAAAGCGAGGGCAGGCTAACAGAGACGACTGGGGAATAATTCTAAAATGCCGACTCGACTGCCGTCAAGATGAAATCGGGCGGAAACCCTCTTTTCGCGTGTCATATTGAGCCCCTCCTTCTGATGATATCGGCAGTTATAGAGATGTAGGGCATCATTCCCCTTCCTTCCGCCCGAACGGCTTCACCCCGTGCTGCTTCAAATTGGCTAGGGGTTTCACGGGGTGGGCCAGTCCGGCGGGGCCCCGAAAATCGGCAGAAGGGCTGCTGCGGAAGACTTATCTCGTCATTGGCAATTATTTCTGTGTTGGTAGCGGTTTTTCTAAAGAAACGCTGCTTGATTGCCTTCTATTGATAAAGGCAGGCTAGCAGAGATCACTTGGGAATGTCGGCGTAAAAAAGTCGGAAACGGATTTCTATGAAATTCTTTCGGATTTTGCCATCTTTTATCGTAATACTGGCAGGCTAGCACAGATTCTTTAGGAATGTTAGAAGAGATTAAATACGGCGCTGATTTTTGGGCTTCCCTGGACTTTTAATGGCATGCTAGCAGAGGTTTTTTGGGAATTCTGGCTGAACATAGTCTCGGAAAGAAGTCGCATGACTTTGTCGTATTTGTAAGAGGCAAAATAGCAGAGATTTTTGAGGAAATTAAGCTGAAGATAAACCTGACAAAGCTTCATCGTTCTTTTAAAAACGCAAACTAGAAGCAGGCAAGCTAGCAAAGACCTACGGGAAATCTTGCTAAAGAAGCCGAACTTTTTAGGGTTAACTATACGTTTAAACCCAACTAGCAAGAATTACTAAAAATTTTTTCGAATTTCAAAGCGATTTTCTCAATTTTTACTTTCCAGAATCCCATACGGATGGCGACCGGACTGGAGCCGAGCGACAACCGGAGGATGGCCGACGATGGCTACCGTACCCTTCACTCATGCCACGGCTACCCAAATGACAATGTCTGGAATGGCTCAGGCCGCCGGGCAAATGGCCGCGACGCAGTCGCACGCGCGGATTACTCATCCACACCTATCCCAAACACTGCAATTGCCGATTAATGCAACTGGTGAGGAATGGGTTAGGAAGAAAGTAGAGATTTTTTAGAAAAGGATAGCAGGCTAGCAGAGATCATTGAGTGAACGAGGGCAGGCTAGTAGAGATTATTGAAGAAGGACGGCAGGCGAGCAGAGATCCTTGAGGAAGCACGGGCAGGCTAGCAGCGATCCTTGTGGAAGTTCCGAGTTTTTATCTTTTTTTTCAGCACCCAGTGTCCAACTCGCCAGTCTCACCTCAACAGCCGCCACCGCCGCAGCGCTGCCCGCGCCGCGCTTTACCGCCGCCCCGCTCACCTACAGGTCTGGTCTCTTTTTTACGACCATCTTTTTTAGAGGGGAGGCTAGCAGAGAAGATTTTGGAACGAATTCCATACATTTTTAGACTTCCAAAGCCTGAGGTCGACCCCCGAAGCTTTCTCTCCCGCCGACAGCACCAAGGAGCGCCGCGAAATCGGCGCGAAAGGAGGCGGCCAAGCCTTTTCCATGTCATGTGAGTGATATGCTAATTAAGTGAATTTTGATGTTTTTAGATCTGCGGAAAATCGTTTTCCCAGGCGGCAAATTTGACAGCACACAAACGTGTGCATACAGGTGAGAGAGGGGAGAGGGGGGAGAGAGAGGGCGTGAGAGAGAGAGAGGAAAAACTAGGGAGAAAGACGCTAAATCCTCTTTTTCCAGGCGAAAAACCATTCTGCTGCTCGGTTTGCCAGAGGCCATTCTCGCAGAGCAGCTCTCTCGTCACTCATAAAAGGTAGCACCATATTTTTTTCTCTTTTTTTTTGCTTTTTACCTAATCTTTTCCCTATTCCAGGACCCACACCGGCAGACGCCCCTATCCTTGCCCATTGCGACAAGGCGTTAACGGATAGTTCTACGCTTACAAAGCATTTGAGGACGCATACAGGTAAGTCCAGACTAAGCCCAAAACCTAGAGGCTTAAACCTAAGCGAAGTATAAGCCTACGCACAGGCTTAAGCCTAAGATAAGCCTAACCCTAAGCCTAGTCCAAGCCTAAGCCTAAATGAAGCATAAGCCAAAACCTAAGCCTAATCCTAAGCCCCC